GTAAAAACTAACTATACATTAGTTTGCCACAACGCAAAAATATGAATTGTTTTGGCATGATACACGCTTCTACCTTCTGCCTATAAAATACAGGCCTGTGAATTACTGTCTACCATAGCTTTTGAGTAAAATAGGACTAGTACAGCACACACTTGGTAGCTGCAGGTGCAGGACACCAATCACCTTTGCTTTTCAAAATAAGTGCAAGGTGAATCCTGGCTTAGTCTTGCTAAAAGGTCTGTATGAGATCCAATCCTTAACTAGTATATTTCCTGATTTGAGCTTTTATTCTCTTCCTACTTATAGTCGTGCCAAGTTCTGGTTGATGGACTAGTCAATCTTAATTCAAGGCAGGTATTACTTTGAAGATGTGAGTGGTATTTTGCAAAGGGCAAGTGTTAGGATTAGGAAGATCCCAACATGTTTATTGATAAGTTATATAAGTCATCAAGTTAAGTTCTACTTTAAATGGGCAACATGAAACCAACATGAAACCCAAGTTTGTCTGTTTTACTCGAACTTGGGCCAAGAAGTATGCTAGAGTTCCAACTTTCAAGCACAACCGTTTCTGCGTTTTGTATGGTACAGAACTGATCATGTAGTAAAGCTGTAAAGATATAAATAATGTTTCACGCATTACCTAAAGGGTTATTTTCACATAGCTTCCTACTTGCTAAAAACTAAATAGAGAAATCAACCAATTAGTTTAAACAGATACTGTAACTCTATAAGTGTTAAGGGGGATACATAGCTGTACTATAATAGTCAATTATATCCCTATAGCAATGTTTTTTTCTTCTTTTCTCTACAGACTACAGACAGAATACATTGGCTAGAAAACCATGTAAATGTTCTTCCTTACAGACATATTGACCAAACACTAAACCACGGAACACATTTACAACAATTGCAAAGACATGCTAAAAGCGACAAAAAGCTAAAACACAATACACTAGAGGCAGGGTTGTTCAAGTAGTGCTAAGTACATTTCACTACTGACATAATTAAATGGTCAAATCACTAGTCAAGACTATAGGGGGAAAATCCTAATTTGCTCAAATTAAAGGGAGCTACATCAAACTATGGCGTATTTTAGCAAAAGAACAATTGAACAAGAAAAGAAAAGTGGAAATTGAATACCTGCGATACTGAACATTCATATTAGAAGCTTTCCAAAACGCAATTTTCTCAAAAGCATCAATTGGTAAAAGGAAATGTTTATTAGGAGGATTGCAATGACCACCACTTTGAGATTCAAGTCCATAATTTGGTGGGCAAAAATTAGTTGCAGTAACAATAATTGATGTACCTTGATGACACCATTTAAGATCATCAACACATTTTAATTCAAAACATCCACCACAGATCTGACCTCTTTCAAATAAAGCACTACTTAATCCAACGGTTGCCATTCCAAATCCTCTTTTAACTAGATCTCCATAACCACATGCTCCAGCAACTGTGTCTCTTGGATCAGATGCTGCGTAGAATGTTGCACGAGCTGATTTCCATTCAGTTAGTGAACTTGTTGGTGATGAGTAAGAGCGATCACTCACCGTTGGTTTTACTGTAAGGGTGAGGAGAAGAGGTAGTAGTAGTGGTAGTAGTAGGGTTAGAGTGTGAGTGTGAATGGAGTTTAGAGACATTTCTAAGATGAAAGAAGAGAGAAAGAGGAAAGTTGTGTAGTCAAGTGTTTGCGAGTTTCTTCTGCTTTAAACTATTCTCTATGCTTTTTGTGTTTTGTCCATTTGAACGTCTGTGAGTTGTGCGTTGGGTCCGGTGTACAACTATTCATAAGCATACTTTAATAAAAGGAGAGATTTAACAATGGGATTACTTTATTAATGTTTTGTTTGCAACAAGGTTGATTGGTTCTTAAAACTCTTTGAGATTCTCTAAAATGTAACAAGTGTGTACATTACCTTTAGAGATAAGAGTTCACATCCACTTCCTCAGTATATTATAGTTTTAATCCGACAACCCAACTGAACATTTCAGATATGTGAAATTTTGCACAATGGCAATTTTTACAGTCCAGAAGTAATGGAGTCAGAGAGCTGCCCAAATCAAACTTTTGGGACTATATGAGGATGCACCTTCATCCCATCAAGATTTTTCTTCCACAATAAACCACAGAAAAAGGGACTAGACAGGATAAAAAATAATCAGTGTTATTCATTGTTTTGATAAATGGAATGCCCAATTCACCCATAAAAACACACCTTAGTATCATATTCTAGAATACAGCTTACTTCTATACAACTACTATACATTGATCTCCAATCTCCACTACATTATCTTGATGAGGAAATCATTAATCCCTTGTTTCATATCATTGTTACTACCTACATTACTCATGGCACGTCCTCGTCCGATGCTGACAGTAACCATGCAAGGTAATCAGATCCCTCACATGAAGTGGAATCTGCCTGGCCAGGTGGTACGACTCTTTTTCTTATAAGCATCTCTACTGTTGGATATTTCCTTTTCTTTCCACCCCTTGGCCTTGATCGGAAGTGTGCATCGGCTTCTTCGAAATCCCCCTACAGAACATCAAAACAACTCAATAACACCAGGTTTCATTTTAAGTGTAAAAGCTAACTAAATGGGATGAACGTCAACACCTGACCAATCAATTTAGTACCGTCACGCTCTACTTATGATGGCAAAAGATTCGGCAAGGTAAGATTGAATTACTATAAGAAGCAATTGTGATTATTGAATGTTAGCATAGTACTCAAGTATGCTAATGTGAGGAGATGCAATAGTCACAATACTACTCCCTTCAAAAGGCTTCCATCCACCTTACATATTAACAGTGCGTGCTGTAAGTATGTAATGCTAACATGCTATCAAGATAAATGGCAATCAGTGTCCTAACACTTGTTCCTTCAAATGCTTTTTATCCATGCACACATGAGAGCTTTTCTGTCATAAGTGCTTAATCATATTCGTTGGGTTGGATGAACACCATCTAGATTCTTGTCTTTGCATCCTGATCTTTTCATATGAAAATATTGAAAATTAAGTAATATAATTCTCTACAGCTATGTATATCTGCCTATTTATTGTGTGGTCATGTCTAGACCTTGCAGTGTATACTAGTGTGATGTACGTTCCAGAAAACTGTATCAATACATTTTTTTGCCAAACTTACCTGAATGTAAACATGTGCCCCAGATTTCTCATGATTGTCTCTCACATGCTTGTATGGAAATTGCTCACCACACCCATCAAATCTACAAACAAATGGGCGGAGTTCCAGGTGCACGGCCTTTATGTGTTGATTAAGATTCGATTTCTGCAGCGAAAAACAAACCAAAGTGACTTGAGGAAGCTAGCAAAGTGCTATTAGGCAAATGCAATCAAATTCTAATATTTAGAAAACAAGAAAGAAGTAGGCACTGCAGTTGAACCAGCCTAAGGTGTTGCTTTCTCAAATCTTAAAAATGATGGCAAATTAAAGATCACCAATTTTCAACTTTAGTAATACTTTTATGTAGTTGACCAGGAACATGAAACATGAAAAAAAAAAACCTAAATCTCTCCTTTAATAGTCAAATCCCATGTTTATAGACCAAATACAATCAAAGATAGGTCTTCATAGGAGGAAAAATATGAATGATAACAAAACTCCATATGAAAAGCTTACAGTTGAGAATGTGTGAAGGCAACCCTTGAAACTGCATTTGATTCTATCTGATGTGTATCCAGCTTCATGTATGCGCATATGCCGCTTGATGTTTTTCTTCAGCTGCTGAGTTCCACAAACTTCACAATTGATATACAGGTGGGAAGATTGAAGATGCGCCTTGAGACATTCAACATTGGCAAACGATTTCCAACAACCAGGTTCACAGCAGACTGCTTCCACAGAGTCCGGTTCAACTGCCATAGTATAAAGTAAAAAAGTAATTTCAACAAAAAGAATAACAACAATATGAAAATGGAAGCATCTGTTATGTTATCTTAAAAAATATTGTCTGAAAAGGAAACAGTTTATAACCCAAAACATGAAGACAGGCAGTGGAAGTACTTTACCATGGGACTCTTCGTGTTTTCTTAACCTTGACGCAAATCTAAACACCTTTCCACAACCAACTTCAGGGCAAATATGCTGCTTCTGAACACTACTGTCACATGAGTCGGAATCTGTTTCATCATGAAGTTCGGTCACATGCCTCTTCATGTTGTCCTGGTAAGCAAATCTACTGTTGCAACCTTCAACAGGACAGGAAAATAGTTTTCCTTGATGTTGAAGCAAGTGGCGGGTGAGGTGGTCTTCTCTTTTGTAGCTTGAGTGACAGTCATCCACTGTGCAAGCATAAGGCCTCTGAACAATTTGAAAAGTAAGACAAATGCACTTGAAGTTCTGTTATGGAGATACATTTATCATAGATGCACAGACAAGTAACTCAGCAAACCTCATTGATATAATACTGCACGTGAATGAGGCTCACTTGATGGAGCTTCACAGGAGGTCCCCCAACCTGTTACTAGTCCATTCAAGATGATAATGCCACCTGTTCGCATTTTGGAGTTCTATACATGGGATCCAATGCTTCACGCCTTGAGGACCATAAATGTTCATTTTCGTAAATCTTATTATCTGCAAGAGCATTTTTGCTTCTGACAATGGGCATATTAAAATATATCAATAACAAGTCTAAATCTATTTATTGCAATAATATAAATAGAATATTCTCATTACAAACTACGTATAAATTTTACTATATCCACAAATACAGGTACACAATATATGCCAACAACTGCGCTATATTATGTTTCTCAGCATCATTTACCCATAGCTTTAATCTTGGCAATGCAGATCTGTGGAGGTATCGAGTTCTATACATTCATTGATAAAAGTCAGCCACTAAAAATTTCGTTAGGACTTAGGAGCGTAGGTCAATAGTTTCACAACCGACTAGTGCAAATATATAATTTTAAAATTGCAGTTAGATCTATGTATAGAAATTGAATAAGGGTAGGGATACACCATATGTCCCAGAAGACAGGTAACATAGTGCAACATAAATGAAAACACCATGCTGTTTAATACTGGTATTATATTAATCTATGCTTCCAATAAAAGTATGACTCATCCTTCACTATGAAGGAGTTCATGAGTAAGAAGCAACAAACCCTGTCAAGCACAAAACATACGACCCCTGCCAGGATTTAGCCGAGTAATAAAATCACAACTTGTATTACCCATAAGTTTTGAGTTTCAATCACATTGCATTATCGTCATCCTATTAAATTGAGATCCTTTAAGTTAGTTACAAGACCCTCCTCATACAGTCTGCAGAATTCAATATATCTACTTTTTTTTTTGTCAATGGAGACATTTCGACTATGGAAAAGTTAATACGAAGTTGATAATGTAATGGATGTTTGCCTATTGGCAATTGATAGCAAAACCCATCAATAATCTCAACAGTTATGAAAAAGATGGGTTACAACAAACATATGTGTAGCACATATATGTAAGCAAAGCATACCTCAGAAGAGTGAGATTGCATATGTTGTTTCAAATAAGCAGGTTTGCGAAAACTCTCACCACACTCTTCACAAGTATTGGAATTTGTTTCTTCCTTTTCATTGTTTTCACAATTCTCTTTTTCTCTTTCAATCTCATCCTGAAATTCACAAAATAAATATCCAAAAATCCTCAGAGTTTCTTCAAGTATCCAAAACCTTACTTCTAGATGCAACTGTAAAAAGAGGATATCTAATTAAACCTTGTGATGAGATAGAATGTGAGAAGTGATGAGAGCTTTCTTCGATCTGCCAATGCCGCAATACTGACAATAATAGCGTCTTATGTCTCTGCCGACTGGCTTTCTCTTCTCTGTTTCTTCTCTTTCCCTTCCTTCCATCTTCACCACTGAATAGAG